ACACACACACACACACACAGCACTAGCTCTCCAGAGTTTGTCAGCCTAGGTAAGTCACATGGCAAAGGCCCCCAAGGAGTCTGCACCCAGCTCTACTGCTAACGCATACGCATACGTATCATGTGGACAACGCAGTTGCCCAGCACCCCATACGGGGAAAATACTTGTTTCCTTCTCTTCGTGGACCACTAGGTGAAGCAGAGCGGGGACCTTCTCTGACTGCTTTCAGCTACAGTGCAGCTACCAACCTGCCACGGAGTCAGAAACAATTTCTGGAGGAGTCTGCACAAGGGGATGCTGAGTGGGCATGAAACATCTCAGAGAGATGTGTTGAGTATTTGGTCACTCCCTTTTCTAGAACCATAACTAGGAGATGAGTACCCTAGGGCCCAAACCAAGGGGCTAGGGCGTGGTAGAATCAAAACAGCACAGCATCATACCCCCTGAACAACCTCACACAGGCCCGCCAGGGCTCTCAGAGGAAGGAGCTGCAGCCATTTCAGGAATCTGGAGCTCCCAGACCAGGTTTAGTTTCTCTTCCAGCAGTAGGGACTTTTGCCACCTGACTGCAGAAAAACGGCCTCGATCTGACCATCTTTCATATCCTGAGGTCGAATAAAAGTGGCTAGAGGAAGCAAAAGACCTATTGAGTAACAAACAGCCCCAGAAAGACTTTCACTAAAAAAGACTAGGGTCCCCTTCTCTTCCGCTTGACCCGCCGTAAAGATTGCCCTCAGTGAAACAGACTTAGAGGAGCAGACCACGAAGCCTCTAGCTACCTGCCTTCCTTGATGAGAATGGAGGACAGATTCCTACACCAAGGGTGAACCCTGGAGCAAGTGCTGAAATCAGTCTTAGCCACCAGCACCAGATGCCCAACCAGATGGGGACAGGAGAATGCTTAGCGAGATGCTCCGGCCTCAGCCCCTCTCCCAGCTTCCCATACAGAATGTCGGACCCAAAACCGCTTCGAGACAAAGCTCAGGCCGGAAGACCCGGCCCTAGGAAAGCCGCTCTCGTAGGCCTCTCCCTCGGACCCGTCCCATTTCCTGGGACTCTCCAACATAACTACAAGAGTGGTGGGCACTAGCTCTGTCCTTGACGGCTCGCAACTCGCATTCCAAGAGAAGTCCTCCTTAGCGTCTCTCAACAACCAGCAGGTACGGAAACCGCAGCCGCAAGAGAAGCCAGGTGCCGGAAGAAGAGCATTCTGCGACCGAGGGACGCATTCTGGGAGTGACGCCGCATGCTGGGACTTGTAGTCTGTGGCGTGACCTCGGCCGAGGCGGCCTCCCACGTCCCAGTAGCTCCACGTCCCGAAACCCAAAAAGCCCCGGGGCCCCAGCCCAAGATGAACCATCCCGAAAAAAATGCCTACCTGTCCCGGGTACGAGCCGTGTCCAGTACAATTCCGAGGGGAAAAACAGCATAGGTGACAGGGCGGCCTCGCGATAGCAGAGCCCAATAGCCCCGCCCCCATGG